GGAATTCCCCCCAAAACGTTTTTTTGACGGCTCTCATTCCCTTCACACCTTTTTTTTTTCTTTTTCCTTTTTCTTTACTTTTTCTTAAAAAATTAAATTTTATTTTATTGATTACACACGGAAAAATTGCATAAAAATAAAATCAATTTTCATCTAATTTTTATTTTAAGAAACCAATTTTTAAAATCATCATTTATGGATTTCTATCAAACTTTTTGTTTATTTAAGGATCTGATTGATTTGTTGAATATGTAACAGGTAATTTAAGGGTTTCTATCAAACTTTTGGTTTGATTTGTCAAATTTGATTTAAACTTTAATATTGATACGGATTGGTAGATATAAAAATTTTGAATGTGATATTTAATATTTATTTTTTATTGTGGTAATTTTGATTTTTTTTTAATCTTCAATTTGAGATCTGAATTTTAAAAAGGGTTAAATGTATGAAATATCAACATACTTTCATAAATTTTCTTATTATAGCATTCTACTTTTGTTTTTCTTTATTACAGCAATGTAATTTCAAATTATTTTTCATTAAGGCATCGTACTTTAAAAAATCTACTCATAATAACAATGGATAACTTGTTACCTTTTAAACCGGTTAACCCTTTGACTTTTTTTGCTTGTGTGGTTTTAATGAGGTGATGTGGATGACACATCATTTTGATAACTTAACTAAAATAAAAATAAAAACTTATTTCAAATTATTATTAGTGATTTTCATTTTTCATTACCATGATAAAAAAAAACATTTAATTTTTTTTACTTTTTCTTATTAAATTGCATGCAAATAAAATATTATTAGAGTAAAATATTTATTAAATAAATATGAAACATTATTTTCGAGATATATTTTGTTTGTAAAATATGTATCTTTTTTATTTTATGTTGTTCAAATAAATACATGTATTTTAAAGTTCTCGTTAAAATGTTAACGAAATAAATTGTTATCTACAATTTTTTTAATATTTTTATATTAATAAATAATTCAAAAAAATTTAATTAATTTAATATATTTATANTACAACTTATTAAAGCTTAATGTTTGAATTCGTGTAATTAACTTCAGATAAACATAATCGAATAGAGGATAAACGTCTTCATTTAAATTTAAAAAATCTAAAATATAATTAGGATAAACATTGAGTTCTAACAAAATATTTGATTTTTATCTCTACAAAAAATTATATTACTAAACCAATTTTTTTTAAAGAAATACACAAAAAAAGAGAAATTTTGAATAGTTAGTTTCATACTAATATCAATATAATTTTTTTTAAATTTTTTATGATATCTTCATATTTATATTTTATTCAAAAATAAAAATATAATTTTTTTCTCAAAACCACATAAAAACGTATTATAATATCATCTGAGACATACAAAAATAAAACATTAAAATCGAGATGTATCTCGCTGCATTGTGCGAGTACCCTTCTAATTTATAGTAATCAATTTGAAATTGTTTTAATTGATATTAAATATATTTATTTCTCTTTACCATCTTGTTTGTATTATTATATTATATTATATTATTAAGTATTTGTTTTAGTTATATTATAAAATATTGTACTTGACTAATGTTTTAATATGTGTATTTTGATTATTTTACATGTTTATCAGGTACTTTTTACCAAACATGATTCATTCATCAACTATCAACTAACTTATAAGTTATCTTCTACCTTATCAACAATCAATTATTTTCACCTAGTTTATTAAATATAGACTAACAATAAGTTATGAATTTCGTCTTTATGATTATATTACAATTATGGATTAAATTCCTCTAACAAAAGAATTGAAGGCATGGTCATTGTTATTGTGTCATTGTCACAATAAATTGGATCTCTTATTCTAATTCTATTGATTTTAACTCCATTAAATTATTAGTATTTTGATTATTTTATTTATTTTTTAGAGATTTTCAGGAAAAACAAAACAAATTAATAATTTTGGAAAAAAAAGAAAACCAAATTAATAATATAAAAATTAAATGCATGAAATAGCAACCTACTTTTATAAATTTTCTTATTACAGAATTCTACTTTTGTTTTTCTTTATTACAATAATGTACTTTCAAATTATTTTTTATTAAGTCATCGCACTTTAAAAAATCTACATGTTATAGCAATGAGTAATATGTTACCTTTTAAACCGGTTAACCCCTTGACTTTTTTTGCTTGTGTGATTTTGTTTGTTTGTGTGACTTTAATGAGGTGATGTAGATGACATCTCATTTTGATGACTTAATTAAAATAAAAATAAACACCTACTTCAAATTATTATTAGTGATTTTCATTTTTCATTGTTATGGTTTAAAAAAACATTTAAATTTTTTGACTTTTATTTATTAAGTTGCATGCAAATTAAATATTCTAGAGTTAAATATTTCTTATATAAATACGCTACATTATTTTCGAGATATATTTTGTTTGTAAAAAAAAAGGTAACACTTCTTATTTTATGTTGTTCAAAAAACTACATATATTTTAAAGTTCTCTCTAACATGTTAACGAAATAAATTGTGTTATACAATTTTTTAATATTGTTATATTAATAAATAATCAAAAAAATCTAATTAATTTAATATTTTTATATGTCAAGTTAAAAATTTTAAACAAATATAATATATTCCTTAAAAGATAATTTTTTTTTTTGGTAAAAAATATATTTATAATTTAAGGTTTTTGAACAAATATAATATATTCTTTAAAAGATAATATTTTTTGGTAAAAAAGAAACAATTCTTTTTTTCTTTTTTTCAAAAAACACATATTTTTTTTAACATATTAGCGAGATAATTTATGTTATACTAGTTTTATTGATACTGATATATTAATGAATAATTTAGAATTTTTTAATTCATTTAATATAACATGTAAAACATTTAAATATTAAAATTAAAAATACAATATTTAATAAGAACTAGTAGATGTTATAATAAACTAATTTTGAAAGTACAATGATGTAGTAAGAAAGTCACGTCACTATAGTACATGTGGACAGTCTACATGGACAATGAGCTGACATGGAAACCTGGTATAATGGGTAAATTTAAATCAAAAGGTTACTCAATGCTATAATGTGTAAATTTTTCAAAGTACAATGTCCTAATAAAAAATAATTTGAAAGTAAATTGCTGTAATAAGAAAAAATGAAAGTACAATGCTATAATAAAGAATTTTCTGAAAGTAGATTGTTATTTTATGCATTTTACCCTTTTAAAAAAACGAGATTTGAAATGAAAAATATATTTTATTGCATTAATTTTTGGAAAAAAAAAAGAATTTTAATTATTTTCTATAATTATTTTGCAATTTTAAATATAACGTGAAATATTAGTTTTAAAATAAAAAATTAATATGACGTGTAATATCTTAGTTGGCAAAAAATCTGAACGATATCAACATTAATAGGTTAACAAGTCAACCAGACCCTTAAATAAACAAAAAGTTTGATAGAGACCCTTAAATGACGTTTTTGAAATTACTGTTAACAAACATTTATATGTGGAAGTGAATTGTGCGATCAACAACAAGAACCGTAATAGTTTTTTGTATTTCAGTTCAATTTTCAAGGTCAAGTTATAGTATTGATTTCTCATTGTCAATGGTCCCAAAAGCAAAGAATCACATATATGAAGACAAACCTCATAAATGTACTTTAGATCTCTTTTTTCTTCTCAGATACCTTTAATCCGAATAATTGGATGCCACGCATATTTATATCATTTTTTTTTATCTGGTCATTAGAATTATCGCTGATAATAATGTATAACCCTCACAAGCGTTATAAAGATCAGTTAAATTTTAGAAGTAGCTGTAAAAAGATATTGTATGTGTTTTAAAGGTTTTATTTAATAAGATTACTGCATATGTACACCTTACTTCAGATCCTACTTGATCAGTTGAAATCCGATGAATTTTGATCGATCTAATCTGATCCAATTATTCATTGGATATTGGATTGTGTCACCCAATTCGGTTAAATTAACATTGGACTATCAAATCCAATTCAATCTAATGGATGATTTGCTGAAATTTGTGTTTGTATCCATCTGAAGTCTTGCACCCATGCTTACTTTATATTTTGTGAATCTTCAGTAGTTGTTAATATCAACCAGAACAATTTCTTCTAATTCGTCATCTGAAGTTAGCCTTGCATTTTGAGATTTTCCAACTTAAGATATCTATCCTTATGGAATACGATATTTGGCCTTACCATTTTATTACTTGAAAGGCGACAGTGTTGACACGTATATACTTTTACGAGTTACCGCTTAGTATTGTAGAGGTACAATATCTAGTCCGTCAATGATATTATACCAATGGCCAAGAATCACTTGTACAAATGTATTAGACAAATCATAGACCTAAAATCCATGCATTTTTTTTTATTAACCTGGATATCCAACTCGCTATGCGAGCCGACTAATCCCAGAACGATCACCTGCTTTACATATAGCCAGAGTCACCGCATTTGAACCTTCATGGCCACAAGGGGATTTTTATTCCTACTTGGATTTGAACCTGGGACCTCCTGATACTTTTGATCGTTGGAGTCGAGCTCAAACCAATCATGCACCACTCTTATGGTTAAAATCCATGCATTTTGTGACCATTGAGAGGGTAATAATTATCAAAAAGCATAAAGAAGACTAGAAAAAGGCTTGTTACGAATGGGACCTTATGACCCCTTTGTAACAACTCACAAGTCATTGGCAATGCTTTTAATCAATCTCTATATGCTCTATGTGTTGGTATACCTCGGGTTGAGTGTTTTTTGGTTAGGTTAGTCGAATTGGTCGATTTTTTACGCACCCGTAAAACTATGCGAGTAGATTACGGTTGTGATTGCGACAATTGTGGTGGGGGGTTAGAGGTGGGGGCATGACAGTCATAGTAGTAACATGGTTGTGGTTGGGACAGGGGGCATGGTGTGTTACAAAGGGGTCATAAAATACAAGGGGTACATTTGGAAATTTTGTAGTTAATGGTGAAAGGAACTCTAATGACAATTAGTTCAGGTACAATATAAAAGAATTGGAAAGACAAAATGTTAGGGACCAAAATGTTAGGGACCAAAAAACATAACAAGATCATGGCACAACAGAAATGAACAAATTAAAGACCTAAGATCACAACTATTGCACCACCCTGTTGTCGGGAGAGCCGACCACTGCCCAGAAATGGCTCGATCCAGCACTGCAGGGGTGCACCAAATTGGCTAACTAACGAAGAAACCAGGTCTTGCCTCTTAGCTTTCCTGAGCAGGTATACCTGTTCCAACGCTGTTTACCTTCTTCTCCGACGTCTAATCCCTTTACGAAGAGGTTTCCCACTGCCGTCACCGCCGCTGCCCTGACTTTCCCGGGGAACCCACGCTTCGGTCTGATTCTGATTCTGATTATGGTTGGGCTCGTCATATGAATTGCCGCCACCCTGATGAGAGTTACTGTCACCTTGTACTTCGGTGGTGGCTTGGACTGTAGGTGGAGGTCTACGCATGTGCAGATTGTATGCATGTTCACGATTGGATCCACCACCCTCACCTGCTACTTTGGCTGTGTCAACTGCATGTTCAGGTCCATTCTGATTCCCATCTGACTGCTGACGCTTACGGCGCACCCATTTCCGACCACCCCGAACATTCCGCCTGGAACTCTGTTCAGCCGCCACAAGACCATCATTTGGTGCAGCATACAATTGCCCATGACTCAAGTCCTTGCTATTTCGTCTGTCACAGGAGTTTGAGTGCCTGCGGTCAGCATAACGTAGCGGATGATGAGATCCTTTATGGCCTTGTATATTAGCTCCAGTGTGTTGGAGAGGCGGGGCTGGTCCAAGTAGGGGAACAAAATAAAATAATCCATTATGTTGGAAAGGCAGGGCTGGTCCATGTGGGGAAACATGGGTTGGACCCGAGCCAGTTTGTTGATGACCGGGCACGTTCCTCTTTGTCTTCACGGGTAAATTTTGGTG